AACCATTAACAGATAGCTGAGATGGCTGACATTGGGAAATCCTACCAGTGGCTGGAAAGGGCTGGGCTAAAAGACAGCACTGAGGCACTGATCATAGCATCACAAGAACAGCACTGAGCACCAGATCCATAGAAACAGGGGTCTACCACACTAGACAGGACCCAAGGGCCAGACTGTGCAGAGAGGCCTCAGAGACAGTCTATGTAGTAAGCTGAAGGTCCTTTACTCTCCACTTATACACAACTGAAGTATTGGTGCTTCAGCAGAATATCTTTGATGAAAATGAAATTGCTTTTAAAATGTGAATGCCTAAAGGAATGTCTCTGCATGCAGCAGAGATCTCAGTGAGAAGGGACTCAGAAGAGACCTGCTGGAGGAGGTTCAAGCAGATCCACCTGGCCAAACAGTCTGCTTTCACAGTAATGAAATGCCTCTCAGAAGTCAAGGATCAGAGCTTCTCCAAAGGCAAGTTGCAGTGGGCAGCCTCCTCTAGGACTGAACTTTTGAAGGAGGAATGGTTGAGTGACCAGCAGAATTAGAAGGCCAGGCCAGGCCAGAGCAGGGCCACACTGATCTTTGACAAGTATCCCAAGTGAGTTGTCTGTAATTCTGCCCCTATGCTGTTCCAGGAAGGACCACAGATCCAATCTGTTTTTGCTAACAATTACATGCCAGGAAAATCCTGCCCAAGTGAATGCTTACAGGCAATGACCCACAATGAATCATTCTCAACACACAGAACTTCATTCTTTTAGTCTCTAAGATGACCTCTTCTGTAGTGAGGTCTATACACCAGGTTGACACAATCCTTCAGAGGCATGGATTTGAACTCCTAGAATTCTCCACAATGGCCACACTGGATAGGGAATTCTGACATTGAGGTCAATACATTTGGAAAGCATCCAGATTGGCCTTAACACTGTTGATCCACCAGCTCTGTGGTGGCATCTCACCACAGCTGGAACTTCGTGGTATTTACTTACCGGGGCACCTTGTGGTCCAGGCATTCCAGGTACACCACGTTCCCCATTAAGTCCTCGAGGGCCAGGAGGCCCTGGGAAACCTCTGACTCCAGGTGCTCCGGTGTCCCCAGGAGGTCCAGGAAAACCTGGCTCCCCAGGGATACCTTGCTGTGAAAGGACAAGAGGCTAGTAAGACCTGATTTCTTCAGACTCACCATGGCATTGAAAAAAGCTCTCTGACACTACCAGGAATTCTTTAAGCATGCCTTCACAAGACAGGAGTTTTTCCAGTTTGCTATTCCATGTTCCAGTGACTTGTGAGAGGCCTCTGGAAGTTCACAGCCAGGTAAGCTGGTAAATCCATCCCATATTGCAAAGCTCCAGCATAAAATGGGCTCAGCTTTCCTCTTCCTGGACAAGGGGTTCCACTGGCTTCTGGGCCCTAAAGCTCCCAGTTTATATAGACCAGTGTTTCTCACAGTGTGGTCCAAAGACCCCTGAGGTTCCCCAAAACCCTCTCAGGAGCCCTTGAAATTAAAATTATTTGGCAGCCTATGTTGAAAAATAATATAATACAGGCAGTCCTTGCTTAGCGACCACTCATTCAGTGACCAGAGTTATGATGGCACTGAATGAGGAAACATATGATCAGTCCTCAAAGTTGCAGCTATCACACCATCCCACAGTCACATGATCATGATTCGAGCGCTTGGCAATCGGCATGCAATTATGATGGTCTCAACATCCTGAGGTCACATGATCACTATGTATGACCTTCACTGCCAGCCTTTCACAAGCAAAGTCAATGGGGAAGCCAGCACAAAGTTGCAAGTCATGGTCACATGACATTGCACTTAACAACTGCACATGATTCACTTAACAAGCAGAACTGGAACTGCCAGAACTGCCATCGTAAGTTGGTACGGCCACATGATTTTTCACTTTACGACCATGTTGCTTAGCAACAGAGTTGTTGGTTGCAATTACAGTCATTAACTGAGGACAACCTGTATTAAAATCCCAACAAACAATTGTGAGAAGAGGTAGTAGCAGCAAATGCATCAATCTTAATTTTTAATATGGTAAATATCAATAAATATAACTTATACAAACAAAAACTCTTTTGGGGTCCTTTATAATTTTTAAAAGTGGGAAAGAAAAAAAAAAGTTTAAGGAACACTGATCTAGACTATGTTAAAAATCATTGATGGGAAAAGCTGGTTCAGCTTTTTTTTTTTTTTATTTTTATTTTTACTTTTTTTTCTTTTTTCTTGTTTATAGTTTGTATTACTTTTATCTGTATAATGTAATCTTCAATAAAATTATTATAAAAAAGCAAAAACAAAAATCTGCCTCAACACAGTGAATACCAAACTTTGTTTTGTATTATATTAAAGAAGATTGCCTGATGTTTGCCTTAAAATTTACTATCAATTTTTTATTCTTTGCTATTTGAAGGTGTTAAAAATGTAAAACAGTGTAATTCTATGGTACAGAAAGGGGATAAGCTACAGAGCTATAAAACTATTTTTACATAAAGTTACAGATCCAGCAAAATTATCATTTTGTTCCTAGCATAAATAACCCATTATTCAAATCTTTTTTCCCATAAGAACGATTCTCTCTCCTCCTCGATCATAAGA